CAGTTCTATATATTGCAATCAAATATATTTAACTCTATCATTAGAGGTTGTAGTCATCTTCATTATTTTAAGAATCGATTGTGTACTAATACATTTTCAGTATTTTCAGTTTAATATGCCCGAAATATAGTAGTTTAGTAGTTAATAATATTCTGATTATCATACTTTTCATTACTTACATACTTGTCTAAACTAACGGTATGGCTGACGGGAAACGGGTTTCTAGAAGGACTATGGAGTCATGTAGTCAGACCATAGATATTAGTAACTCTATCGTGGAAATTGTCCATGATGGTTTAAAGGAATCGTGCAGAATTTGAACTGATAAGATATATTCCTGGGTATCACTTATCCCTATTATTAAAAACCACCATATTCCTTCATGCTATTCTTTATTTGATGTCCTCACATTTCAAATCAAATCTATCTCTAATCTATCAAATCTTCCGGGTAATGGAAATAATAATCGAGAGGTAGGTTGAGCTTTATACTGTTGCTGTTTAAAACTATAGAGAAACATTTCAATAAGGATTAATTCGCCATTTCACAATCTACATAACCTGATCTATTTTCGATTCCTTTTCATTCACCCGTTGATTATGAATATATTTATCTGTTATAAATAAATCATCTGCTATAGCCTTGAATTGGGCATGACAAGTATTTACTTTTGCAAGTAATTGATATGGGTCTCTTAAAAGGTATATACATATATAGTTCTAACCTTTTTTAAAAGTAACATCTCGTATTTCTTTCGATTTGACGTTCGATGTTGCTTGCATGAAAAAAAGATATTTGCTATGTAAATTTTCATTAACTCTGAATGACTTTCAATACTATAAATTTATCTACACATAAGTATCCTTTTTATATTGATTTCGTAATTATTTATTTAATACAATTTAGATTTAATGACTATTTTATTCGGAATGTTTCTTGTCTATATTTTACGAAAATTTGTTAATTATTAATTATTATTGTGAATATTAAATACTAAATGGATGTTATTATATTTTAGGCTTTTTTAAATTAATTGTACTATTGTACAAAAATAAACTATTCATAACTAAGAAATATGTGTGCACATAAAATAATAAAATGCCTTATAAAGTTCGCAATTTAACGTAATTTGACTTAGTTAAGTTTCCCAGAAATAGTTACAACTTATTAAGTGCTTACTAAAGTCATAGTTAATAATAGATGTAGATAGATATCAATTTCATAAGTCGACCGTGTCTAAGTTTTAACCTAAACATACATCTTCGAATACATACCTGCGAAATTATCTGTTAACTAAATTGCTGGCTAACTATTCTTGGTTATTTCAGTCGCTGACTTCAACAAATGTCAGCACAACCATTTTGAAATTTTGAAGCCTAATTCATAAGGAGATGTCATAAAAATAATGTATGTTCGTGTAACCTAGTCGGTGATTACAGTGACTAATTACAAGTGTAATCTGAGAACTCATTAGAAATTACAATCTGTTGTAATTTCATGATTACAATATGGTTGTTGCGATGTTGCATACGAAGTGCTGAGTGGGTGTTAGTTTAATTACGTAGTCATGTAACTGATATATACACTTAGGTATTGCATTACTCATGCTATAATAATTATATTAGTCTTCAGGTGGAAATCGTATAAGGTTATATTCTCGGCGTCAATAGTCTAGCACTCTTGGTTTAAGACCAATAAACATTATACGAATTTGTATAATAAAAATATGTATAAATTTAATTTAACGATAAAGTAAGATGATGTTGGTGGTAAGAGGTCGGTGGTCTAGTTGTTTAGCACACTGTTGTACTTGCGGTAGTCGCGAGTTTGATTCCTCGCACGATACATACATTTTTACATCTACATAATAAATATAATTATTTGTATCGGAATAAGTATCGACAAAGTAAGACGAAGGCCGCGGTGGTCTAACGGTTTAGCACCCTGTGATACTTCCGGTAGTTGCGGGTTTGATTCCTCGCGCGATACAAATATTTGTATATGAGTGTGATTGTTTGTATCGGACTTACTGTTTTCTGTGTAATTATGTATTTATTTACAGAAATATGTATCCATGTATTGTAATATTTTGTACAGTTCTTGCTCATTTTTTATTTCTTTTTTCTTTACTAAATACTGTGGTGTCATAAATATTTTTACCAACTTTGACCTACCTTGGTAGTAGGACGTAAGCATGCTCAGAAATATATTTTTTGTATATTATAATAACTTTTCTTGATTAAATAAGATTTAATTTATATAAAAGGAAACAGTTTTAAATCTGGAAGTATTATTTTTCTGGTGGTTATTAGTAAAAAAATAGTAAATTGGTTTTGTATCAGTTGGTACATAAAACAGCCAGCCCAGCTATGAAAATTAAACCTTTTTAGAAAAACAAATAGTGATTTCTTTTTTGACAATAACAATTCAAATTTCGAACCATTATCATTTGTAGTATTGCGCTGCAATTAACGGGAGGAATTGGCAGTAAAGAAGTCTATTTTTACAGATATATTTCGAAATTCGAATAACTTTAACTGTTGCTGGCGTACTGGCCACATAGTTTTATACTTCATATGCTTATTGTATTTTAAATTTTTAAGAATTTTATTATTTTTTGTAAATAGAACAGTTTAGTCTATTAAAAATTTCAGACAACAACACTTAACCTTATTTGTGTTATTTATCGATCGCATGTTACAATTTGTTTTTCATCGTTATTTTTATACGACTTTACGCAGTAGGAAATTTTCAATTCGGTTGTACCTACATAGTCTTTCAAGAGTATTTAGCGATATATTCAAGTGATATATATATATTTTCATATTCGATGTTCTATAAATGAATTTGTTGAAATGAAATTATCATTTACTTGCCTAAATAAACATGATTGATTGAAATATATTTGATGAGAATTTTATTTCTAATACCAGGTTTTTTTATGTAACAGAAATAGGAAAACAATGTAACAATCCCAACTAATGGTAAGTAGCGACCGTACGAGGAATCGAACCCGTGACAATCGGAAGTAAAGAGGTGTGCTGAACCGCTAAGCCACTGAGGTCGTCGGTTTGATTTATAGTGAAATCTCAAATTTACAAATGTTATTATATTTTGTACATTAAGTGTATTAAATTATTATAACTAGCTACTGGCCCCGACTTAGCCCGGGTGTATATGTATAATTTATATAAATAAAATATAAACCATTCTCTTGAATGACTCTATCTATTAAAAAAAACCGCTTCAAAATCCGTTGCGTAGTTTTAAAGATTTAAGCATGGGTACATAGGGACGGACAGACAGCGATAGCGACTTTGTTTTGTACTATGTAATGATGATTAAATTTTTTCATAATATTATTTTAAACCCTGACAGAAAAAAGGGTGTTATAAATTAGAACACTTCTACTTTATAACATCGTATTTTTCCGTCGGTGTCTTTGCTTCTGTGTCTGTGTACCATCGTAGCTCATAAACGATTTAGATGCGGTTATTATAGCTAACGTGATTTAGATGATTATTTAGCTACAATTTATTGATATAATGCAATTTTTTATTTTCATTTTACAATCATTGTAATACAAGGTTTAATATAATTACATATTACTTATAACTATATTTATTATAACAGAAATTAGTTAAAAAGGTATTTATCTATAGTCCTAGTCGTGACTTGTGTTATTACAAAGCCGAAAGGTATTAAGTTCTTATCTGGCCGAGAAACATTGTATATTAATTTATATTTTTGACTGATTTTCCGGTATAAAAACACAATTAACAGAAGAAACTGAGCCTAGAGACGGTGCCGACGGCGGGCTGGAATATTTGGTGAAATGAAGGCATGTCGAGTGAAGCGTTTAAATGTTTAGCTCTTTATCCTCTGATTACTCCAACTGGGATATCAGTCGTGAAGTTTATATTGAGGTTAAATTTATTTTCTATATTTAATACTAGCTGTACCCGCGACTTCGTCCGCGTGGAATTTGACTTTAAATAAAAGTAGCCTAAGTTACTCCTTATATTACATCAGCTACCTGCCAATAAAAGTCCTGTCAAAATCGGTCAAGCCAGCCATTTCAGAGATTAACCGAAACAAACAGACAGACAAAAATTGTAAAAAATGTTATTTTGGTGTATGTACCGTATTTATATTCATATGCATGTAGTAAAACACTGTTATTTCAATATTACAAACAGACACTTCAATTTTATTTATATGAATAGATGTATAGATAAGAAATAAAAAAATATATGTATCGTAACTCTTCCACCTATCTCTTTCTTTTAGAAAGCTAAGTATATAGTAGAGTATATTTTATTTGGTAGTAGAGTATATTTGCCAGCAAAGAGTATGTTTTATTTAGAAAGATGAAATATAATTGCACCCGTACTAAGCCGTAGTCCATTACTGGTACCTATAATCTATATTAGACTTACTATTGTCATTTATTGTAATATATCCTATACATAAATGAAATAACATTCCAACATTAAATTAAAAATAATATTTATTTATGTGGATTATTTAAAACATTAACATTACTGATTGGTATTTGACAGTAGAATACTATTATATTCTCCTTTTATATTGGTTCTCTTCCCGATTTCAGTATGATTTTTTTCATGTTAAAATTGCAAATTTTTAATAAAGTAACCGATCAAGTAAAATAACATTTTCCTCCTTTAATCTGTTCGACATTTTATAATATGCGTATGTGAATGTTCAAAAATTACATTATGAAGTCCTATAATTTTGGAGATTAATAATAGGTTATTATTTAATTACAAATCAAGTATAAGAAAAATATATAATTTCTTTACTAGTAACGATTATATTTCATTTTAGAAAGTGACTTAATATCAGGCGTTTAAAAAAAAAAATATATTTTCGAAAATGGGTTCAAAAGCTTTTTTATAAAAAATAAAAAAACTTATGCTGGCCAGCCCAGTATTATGTCTAAACTGTTGAAAAAATACATCCGAACAAAATCAACTTACCTTGTAGATGTATTTTCGACGCAGCAAAGATTCGAAAGTTAAAACTTTTCAAACTTAGAAGGCTAGATAGCGCGAAAATGCAACAAGTTCGAGTGAACTAAGAGATTGTTGCTGGCAGCATTTATAGTCAGCGTTTGGGCGGGCTGTGTAGGCGGAGCTACGCACGCGTAGCGCGTGAAAACTGCTATAGTGATATTCTTTTTTTAAATAGTAATGTTCGTTACATGAATTATAATACAAATTCCATTTTCAAATTACTGTTTTTTCCTTATATACAACTGACTCTATTAGACAAAAGAAACAACATATAAATCCCATCTTAATTTAAATTATTATATTCCTTACCGTAGATATGTCACATATATTCAGAATAATAAATTATTATTCTTATAAATGTAGTAAGAAGTAGAAGAAGTGTTTGTTTCTGTATTTTTAGTTCTCACCTTGACACACTACAAAATTATCATGCAATTTGATATACACAAAAAAATATAATAAGCTTCATTTTATTCTTATAAATCAATACAATAACTACATTAATTATATTATTACAATCTCGGAATATTTCAAGCTTGTATAATGAATGTAGTTATTATTTAAAAATTCTACATTTCGTTATGACTCCAATCCGTGTCAGCTCAGATTTCAACGCTGCGTTCGTTTTAATTAATCAACAGAAACAGTAATGAAATAAATATATACGAGTAAAATAAAACAAGAAAGAAATAAACAAATTACAATTTTTGAATATTTCAATATCTTTTATTATGAATAATTATCTTATACAATTAGATAAATAAAATGCTTTATTAGAGACATCACTTTTTTATATTAACTAAAAGCTCTTACAAACTCAATTTAATTTATTGCAGTATTTCATCAAATTAATTGAAATTAATAGAGATAAGGTCAAATGAGATTTAAAAACGTTTTATATGGTGAAATAATAATATAATAATATTTCAGGACAATTCACACAGCGCCATCTAGTCCCAAGCTAAGCAGAACTTGTGTTATGTTGAAATAATCATGAGAAGGAGGTGAAATTATATATACTATTATGTTTTTTTATTACTGCAATTTTTAAATTTGCATACTGCTAGCATTCAACCGTCTAGTCCAATTATCGGTCATACAATATATTGGTAATCAATTAGTGAATTTCTACTCGTATATTGGAATAATACCCACGCTTCAATCTTTCCGTACTAATATAATGAATATGAAAGTGCCTCTGTTAGTTTATCTGTACGTTACATTTTCGCAAGTAAACGAGCATAATATATATAAATGTTGTGCAGTTAAAGTCACACGCAAAGATTGAGTACGTAACGGTTTCTATGTTAATTGGCTCGTGCATTCTATGATATTCCTAAATTGCTCATATTAAGTTTATTTGTATAAAGTTGATTATAATTTCTATTTCTCAAATGTACTTCAGATTAGTAAACCGCCACCGTTTCTCGGTCTACCATCTCAAAGATATAAGAATAAGAATAATAATCTCAGGACAATTCACACAGCGCCATCTAGACCCAAGTTAAGCTAGCTAAAGCTTGTGTTATTGGTACTAAATAACTGATACAAATGTATAGATTTTTTTTCGTAAATACATACATAATGTACATAGAAAACACCCAGACCGATACAAACAATCATACTCATGAATACAAATGTTTGTGCCGTGCGAGGTATCGAACCCGCGACTATCGGACGTAAAGTGATTTGCTAGACCGTTAGACCACCGAGGTCGTCAAAAGAATAAAATCCAACAGGCATTTTAAGATACAGACTAGGTATTATTATACAAATACTAACACAATAAAGCAACCTAGAATGTTTCCAGTCAGTATCCTCAGCCGTGAAATACTTAAGGAATTCCATAACAATATAATTTAATTATTGTAAATAGATTTCAGGCTATCGATTTCGAGCTTTGAATAACTAAGCCTATTTGACAGAGATATTTCAAGAACTATAATAATTCCACTTGAAACCGTTGCGGGATTAATAAATCTATTTTGTTGTTTATTTACAGCGATTTCAAATATGCCAATATTTGAATACTTCTTACGATTATAATAGTTATACTGTCAGAAAAATATTTAGAACTGGCTGAGCCAGCGGTTTCACCCGCGTGGATATTATAGCCTATATATATTTGCATGTATAAGCTATATTACTGTAAAGTTTCGTCAAATCCGTTCAGTAATTTTTGCGTAAAAGAGTAACAAACATCCATCCATACTCACAAACTTTCGCGTTTATAATATAAATTAGAATATGTTTTTACTATATTTGGTGTATGCATTGTTATTTAGTCAAGACAACGTGTAACCCCAAATTAAGCAGATCTTGTACTAGGCGTGATGTAACGTAATCTAGGTATGAGAAAGACATGTATATAACTACCTTTCAGCAATGGTATTAGAATTTAGAACTTATACGATATGAAACCTTCAAGAAAAGAGCTTATTGTTTCTTTAAATGCACTTGCTATTCCCCTAGTGTTGACATTGATGGTGGTAATCATCTACCATCTGGTGAGCCGCAAGCTCGTTTGTCCCCAATCCTATAAAAAACTTACGTTAAATAAATATATACATATACCAAAAACGGTAAATTAATGTAATCATATATATGTTCTAGCACACTCTTTAAAACATTTTTTTAAATTACATTATTCATGGACTGAACCCGCTACCGTCAGAAAGGCAATGTAAGTCGCTAGATCAGTGACGTGACCAATAAAATGAAAGTGAATGGAATGGCTAAAGTATATAAATGTATCAGTACTGAGCCGTAGGTATTATTTCAATAACATATTTTGGGTGGCCATTCACAATATCACAAAGTTATTTTTAAACTTTCGTGTTTTATTACACTTTTTTTGTATTGTTAACCGGGTAATAATTTTGTAGTAAATAAAGTTATTTAGTACCAACCTAGTACAAAAGTCGATAGGAAAGGGGGCGACACGAGCGTCTCATGGAAGGGGATTGTTAGTAATGGGGCCTAATTCACCATTGCTATTAATGTATCATGACATGTCGACCTCCACGCAGTTCCCCTCGGAAACCAAGTGATTTCATAACGATGGGATAAGTGACTTGACCTTGTCATTCGCATCTTATCATCCACTAACTATGCTTACGACTCGTCCACGTAGTGCCCTAGACCAAACAAATAAAAAATATTTATTGATCTAACCTTCATGAAAATATTCATCTTGTAACTTCAAAAACAACGAATTACCTTAATATAAACATGACCTTCAAAGATTACCCTTAAGAATATACTTAATATTTAAAAAATAGGTGGATGAAAAAATTTTCATCCCCTATTTTTTAAATAAGTTTCAAGCTTCTAGCTTTACATAACATTTCCACACAACTTTTCATATCCCTTTTCATTCAACGCTTTTTCCTTTCTTAGGGTCTGTACTATCTCTGTACCAAATTTCATTTAAATCGATTCATTAATTTTAGCGTGTAAGCGAGACAGTCAGACATAGTTACTTTCTCATAATAATATTAGAAAGGATAAAAAATATATTGTTATTTAGTAGGATGTACAGTAAGTATTGTTAATTTAATTAATGAATCACTATCAATAAACCATGTAGATATAAATTAAGATTCATTCGTTTAATCAGGGAATCGTGTTACACGTGCAGCTTATTGAAATATTTGAGTATGTCATCCGGTGCCTTACGTCATTCTGTAAATGAATGACAGTGTGATTTGGATGTGTCATTAGGTGATTTGCATAAAAACATACTATTACGACTGTTGACCCAGATGGGATAGTCAGAGGCATTGTCAACTGTCGATGTTGTGGTGAACGCAACACTTTTTCAAGCCCACATCGAAATATGAGTATTTTTTAAATCAAGGTGGTAGGGGCGATCCTATCGCCATCTCTGTGAGATAGAGCACTAGGAGACAACATTTTGTGAGTTAGTTGTCCCCTACACTGGAGTTGGTGAAGCATAGTTCATATTAGCAGTCCATACATAATAAGTTGCCTATAGATTTAAAAAGTTTGCGTAACAAATTAATTGGATTTTTTATTAAAAAAGTATTATTTATACAATTATTGAATTATAAAATAAGGGTAAGATGACATGCAAATTATTATTATCAAATTGTCATTTTCGTTACTTAACATATATTTATTTTAGATATATAGCTAATTAATTAAATATTGATATGATACGTAATAAAATTCAACACAACGTAAATTATTATGAATAAATTAAATTAAATCTTTTATATTAATTTATAAGCGATTCAGAAATATATTTAGCGCAATATGAAATATTTCATGTATCCCTCGCATGGTAACATTTGTATTCATGAGTATGATTGTTTATATCGGTCTGGGTGTTTTTAAAGTATATTATGATGTATTTAAAAAAAATATCTGAATATTTATCTCAATTGTCTAGTATCCTCCTTACAAGCTCTGCTTACCTTGGGACTAGGTAATGTTGTGTGAATTGGCCAGGGATATTATTATAGACTATTAACTATTTTTTCAATTAAATCACTTAGTGTAACTAATAATAAACGAGACCCGAACAATCCAATCATATCAAATATACACTACCTACTCTAAATTATACTGAAAAATCACATGACAGAATTCGATATACCAGCGAATAACTTGAGTAAGTACGTCAACTCCTCTTTCCAAATGAACAACTCTACAAGTTTACGGTTTAACTGTAACTTTAACTTCTTAGTTTAAATTTATAACGGTAAATTGAATCTAAGTACCTATTAATTGCTTTGTGTAACTCCGTTGGGTATCCACTTTCCACCACTTGTCCGTCATGCCTGTGTATGCTGTGAAGCAGCAACGCCTGCATTGTTTCAATTTGTAGTAGGTAGATATAATGCGAGCATCACATATACTCGTAGCTGTAGACAGGGATGGTTTATTTATTAGGCGGGGACAGCTTTTGTACACCATTCATTCATTCATAATTTAAGAGCTACGTTCTTATCGCTGGAGCTCTTGCTACTTTTCGCGATCTCTAGCTGTTGTCAGTGGAGCTCTTTTTGCGATCTTCCATCATGCTCTTTAAATGTTGAGACGACACAACTCCCATTTTGTCTCTAATTTGCTTGATGTAGCTGTACCTTGGTCTTTCCTTCTATTTTTCCCTTAATAATATTTTTTATAAAATCGTCGTGCCGTATGAAGTGTTTAACATTTTTCATCGTCTACTTTCTATTAATATAATATATAAACATCTGGTTTTTTGTGCCTTTTTTCTATAATGTGTTTCTTTTTTCATTTTTTTTGACGTGTCGAAAAATTCAAAGGATCCCACCACAGAGGATTGACGAGAGGGTATCTTATTCAGAAAAAATCACAAGGTGTATCTACGAACGCCATTGCCGGAGACGCGAAGTCGCGTTAGCATTCTACCGCGACATCGCTGCATCGGCGACATTGGCCCGCGGTGTATATAGTGCACGACGCGAATCATGTGGGTACACTCGAATGCCTCCTGTGCCATTTGTTTGGGGCACTGCTTGCAAAAGGTTTGGCAACCGCCTGGGTGACCCCCGTTAATCATATAAAAAAAAACATTTCATCATATAGCACATGTCAGTCGCTTACGAATATTAAATTAATATTTTAGTATCATATATATTAATATTTTTTATCTACTGTCCAGTTCAGTCTACAGATTAAATTGAGAGGAACTGATAACAATTGAACTTCTTTTTTTTATAAGCCAAGTAAATAAAATTGCATTGTTGAATGTGTATGAATAACTATTGCCATGCATCGTTATCATTAAAATGGTTTAGTGAATATTTAAAAAATATTCTATATTCTATATGTAGGTATATGATATATTTTATTAATATATAAACGAGAATTTCATTGCATAGGCGCCCCGACATCATTAATCCGGCCCTGGCTGTAGATCCTTTTGGCACCTATTATATACCTATTAAACTATTTCATTTTCATTATGTGCCTACTTTATTCCAGTTTCGATGGGAAAATCGTATTGTAGATTCCTATAACGAATGATATGATTCGTCGACTTGACCAATGTGAGTTGAGCCTTATATTTGTAATGTCATGTTGGTAGCGAAAACTGAAAGATGTTTTCCAAACGTAGATACTTATAAAATGGGGTTAAAATTTATATTAAAACTGTTATTGATTCGTAAACATCATTATGGATACGCTTCATTCGCATCGCTAGCTGTCCCGGCAAACGTTGTTTTGCCTTAAAATAAAAAAAAATTAGAGGTGGACTACCCCTAACATTTAGGGGGATGAAAAATAGATGTTGGCCGATTCTCAGACCTACTCAATACGCTCACAAAATTTCATGAGAATCGGTCAAGCCGTTTCGGAGGAGTATGGGAACGGAAACTGTGACACGAGAATTTTATATATAAGATAATATGACGTTACATTTTCCAAAAAGTGTACTTAGTAAATTCTGTTAGTAACTAATTTAAATTACGTAGTTTCTATTATACTATATTCATTAGGTACTTCTCTTCCTACATTCAATATATGTTTATAGAGACCAAAATTTACATACATACTCTCTTAATAGTGTTTTAGTCATTCTATTACAGACAATGAACATTTATTATGTAAATATAAATGGAAGATACAAGGGATTTACAAAATGAACGTTGAAAGGTTAACAATAAAATCTGACGAGTATTAACCAATCAAACTAAAAGGTTCACTTCGTTCATCAGTCAGTTACGCTAAAATAAACGTTTAGTATTTTCACCTAAATTTGGTACAAATAATATGCAACCCTATTAAATCAGGATAGAGTTAAAAATGATTTAGTATTTTTTTACAGTACAACATTAGTACTTGGGGAAGTGGCAATAGGATGTATGAGATTAATTCTCATGTAATCTCACTGATACAATCGAACATCATGACAGCTTCGGTGGTCTAGTGGTTTAGCACACCGCTTTACTTCCGATGGTCGCGGATTCGAATCCTTTCTCGGCGCAAACATTTGTATTTATGTGTATGATTATTTGTATCTGTCTGGATGTTCTCTATGTATATTATATATGTAAAACAAAAGAAGAAACTTTATAAGAACTTTAGAAGCGACAAAAAATATGCTTTTAACCCACCTAATGACAAGTAACTGTCTCTTATATAAAATTTTACTCTTACATAATCTGTAATTTTCAATACCATAAGATAGTGAAATGAAAATGTAACTAAAAACTTCCCTTCACCTCTCCTTTCCCTTCACCCAAAATACACCTTACAAAGCAAGCTACTTGGGATATAAAATAGATTAAACTGAGGTACTGAGGATGTTTGTTACGCTTTCACGCAAAAGCTACTGAACCGATCATCATGAAATTTTGTACGCATGTTCTTGGAGGTATTAGAATGAACATAGGTTACTTTTTATTTAAAGATACAAATATTTATTATAAAAAAAAATTATCGATATTTTGCTACATCAGCGCCATATACCAGCCAGTAATATCATTATTTAATGGATTCAATGGGAGAGAAGCCGCGGGTAAAAGCTAGTATTATTATAAGAATAAAAGTTTGTTAGTATGGATGTTTGTTACTCTTTCACGCAAAAACTACAAAACGGATTTTGAAGAAACTTTACAGCAGTATAGCTTACGCATCAGAATAAAATATAGGCTATATTTTAATTTAACGAGGGTGAAACCGCGGGCTCTGCTAGTACGTAAATATATTAAGCAAAATGCATTATGCCCACGCCTGTTTTTATTTTTTTCCAATATTCAGTCATGGAGTGCTCTTTTAATTTTGATAGTTACGCTACACATCGATTGTTACGCGTTGATACTCTTTTTGAAAGCAACCCACTCAATCGGATCTCCGATTAATTAATCAGAAAGGTATATCCAACCAATAAAGATTAAGGTACTCCGCACATCTAGCGATAAAATGTTCAAAATATGTAGGTACACATTTTTTTAACATTTTATTAGTAGTTGCCGGAAGTTATAACCATGTTTGTGTATGTACTATGTCGACTCTGGTCGACTCTGGCAAATTTCATCAATTTAATAAAATTGTGAGATATGGTATAAACATTTTCATACAGTTTGTTGTCACAATAATTGTTGAAGATGTGGCGATAATGTAATTAAACATTAGGTATATTATATTGACGGTGATATGTAAGTCAGTGTCAATGTAAGCATCTTCAGATTTTATTTCATGTTAGTGTTTTAGTTTTTTACTCTTACACGCGAAACTACTGAACGGCTTTGGATGTAACAAAATAATAGTTTATACATCATAATAACACATGCCTATAATTTAAGAAGATTCATGTGAAAAATGTAAATCGGCGAAATATAATGTCAATTAAGGGCGATGCAGACGAAGTTGCGCGAGTCAGCTAGTGCAGTTATGGCAAACAGACTTGTTAGCTACTCAATTTTTTAATGTAATTACAAAAAAAAACTAGTTGTAATAGTAATTAGAATAGTTTGTCCATTTATTAGCCAAAATGTCGTTCATTTCTAAACTTTAGTTATTTCTAGAGTGACTGGAGTAATGTAGTTGATAAATTTTACTTCTCCGTTCTGTGTATCCTGAGTGTATAATGAGTGTGCGACCTAATTCCTAATGTTTATTCTGTTCATAATCGTTTACTCGTAATTACGTACATGTTCATTTTATGGATGTGCTATTTATCCTATTTCAAAATAAAGAGATTTCAAATTAGATTGTTTTGTTTAATTTTATTAATATTGATTGTTTTCTTTTTATGTGTATATTAGACAATTTTTAACTTCTTAATCATTTCTTTAAATGTATTAATTTATTATCTTTGAATAGGTTAGTACCTATAGCTGATATTTATATATAAGTAAAAAAAGAGTGGATCTCATAGATTGGGTATTATTTCATTGTAATAATAATAATATATAATAGGTACCATAATTATTGCCCACAATAGAATTTCATTTAGCGCAAATAAGTGTAATAATAACTTATGTACTTACTACATATATTTAATCAAATCAGGACACGTAACTCTTAAAAGGATATTATAAAAATGTTGTTACCTATTATTTTATAATTAATAGCTAACGTAATAAAAATAAAGAACAAATTAAAAAATGATTTAATGTAAAAATGTCATTATTATTAAGATTAAAAATATAACAGTAAGTTTAGCTTATTTCACAATAATTAAATATTTTATTCCTATGAATATTAAACGATATCATTAATAAAAGCATAAAAAAGAAATTCTATTATAATGATTTTTACAATCTACTTTAATCTTCAATTGTTTTTACCAAGCATTATAATACAATATGGCCCTCTGTCGCAAAAAATAGACACTAATTTTAATACAAACCAGTACCACAGAGTATTTTGGTGCGACAGAATCTGTGGCCAGAATCAAATAGACAGTAGAGTAGACAAATTCAGCTACTGACTAAGCAGTATGGGCAATGCTCTTCGCCTGTCCAAATTGGACGAATTTTAAAACAGCAATAGACAAATTCAGTTTACGTTTGTTTTTAAAATTTAAATTATAAAAATCTATCATTTTTTTAAATCGTTGTTCTAATATTTTGTTTTTAAAATGGATAATCTATTACAGCCAGTATTAGAAAGTTATCCCAAACTATCAATAGAAAAACAAATTTGTCCAAGTTATGTGGAGATGTATACAAAAAACAAAACAGAAATTGTAATGGTTTTTGTTAAGGTATGTTAAATGAAATTTCAAATTATTCCCTTTCTTTTGAAATTATTTACGATATATACAGTGTAATAACTTAGAAAACATAATTTTAAATTATCGCTTATAATATATTAGCAATATATAAGCGGTAATTTAAAATCTATTGTAATTAAAATTACTTATTTGTAAAAACAAAATGAGTAATAATACCATCCCTAGAATAATAAGTTATTGCAATTTAATGTACTTAATTACTTAACTGTCAATTACTACATTTTTAAAGATTTATTGGCAATATAGTCATATGCTGGATTAACCGAAGTAATATATAATTGTTTCTAAATATTTTTTTCAGAATAAGCTATCTGCTAATGCAATAGATAACAAAGTTGAAAGAGACAACAACATCGAAACAGGTAATAATAACTGATATAGTTGAACATTGTCAGTGTTGATTGCTCTCTATAAACTATTTTTGAAATAAGAATAAGCTCTTGGACCAAAGAAGTGGTAAAAGTTTTGAGTAAAAGTAAATTATAAAGTGCCAAAAAATTCTTACTGTCTATTTTACACATTCAAATATTAAATTCTAATACTTTTGAGTTGTCTGCATGGGTATTTCAGTCACAGCTATTTCAACAAGCAAGGAGATTGTTTCATAGGCTGTGTTTCAGTTTTAGAGTGTATAATGCAGCAAATTACAGAATAACATGCATGAAATCATAGCCGTGTCACATGCCAATGTATTAGTGGTATCATGGATGTCACATGATAATGTGTTGTTCATAGTTCTGTTTATAATTAAATATATGGTGGTTACCACTCACTATGTGCCAACAGCTTATTTACCATTCCAATTCCAGAATATCTTATTTTTAATAACATGTTAAATCCAATATTAGTTTGTGTTACGAAGTGGAGGATATAGCTTCCACTTTTTAAATAAAGATATTATACTAATTGAATTTTGTTTTACAAATTGTAATGTTAGTTTTCAAAATAACAAAAATAACAACAACAATTTTTACATCCAATCTTAGGTTCCTATGATGATGATTTAATCTCCATTTCCTTATCCGATATTAATTGTGGTTGGTGTAATATATTTTTCTCTACATCTTATTATTTACTCTGAGTGCTGAATCATATAATATTGTACTTAATGTTTATCTAGAGGAATTGGAATTAACTGGATCTCCACTCAAATTGGATTTGAGTTTGCACACGTTATTGGATGATACACTGTTAACTGATGAACCACAGCTGTGGAGTAAGGAGGAAGCCAGCCATCTACCAGTTGCCATCAGCAAAGCTAGGTTTGTTATAGTCTATACTAGTTGATCCATACAACTTCATTTACTCTGTTTTGCAACATTTTTCATTGATTCTTTATTTTTGGTAGCAGAGAGATATTATAAACCCTATAGATTAACTCAGTAATGGGCTATGTAACAGAAAAATGATTTTCTAATCTATAAAAGAGTTTTTCATTTTGAACCCTACTGGATGGTGACACAGTTTATTAGCATATATTTTGTAAAGTGCTAGTCATGATAGCTAAGGAAATTAATTCATGAAAAAACTATCTATATTAGTACTATAATTGCCCAAACTATATGTCTATCTTTTTGTTACCTTTTCGTGATTCAATATCTAAAAAAACTTAATTAAATTTGGCATGAAGATAGTTTGTAACATGAAGTTAAATATTTCCTTTAAACATCGAATGTGCACCACTTACATTCAGGTGGACCATTAGCATGTCCTTCCAATTACATAAATAAAGTAATGTAACCAAATAATCCAAAGTTTCTTTTAACATTTTCAGAGATATTGCAAATCTATATAACAGAAGTCTAAACACAGCATCAGCAGAGGAAGCTGTACCTATGTGGATATTAACCAACCCACTTGATGAGAACAAACCTCTTCTGCTGACTATACAATCTGATGATCATCACTTTGCTAGAGGCATTGTTACGTATGAAGGATCCATGACCTTAGAGGAAGTGGATCTTAATAATTTAGTGCAGCAGTATGCAGCACAGGAAAATATTATCTCAGATATGGTAAACATCTAGAAATGTATAAGAAATCTTAACTAACTGGTCTGTTCAGGTTATAACTACTGATTCTGTTATTTCCTTTCGACAAAAATGTTAATTGCATATGCCAGTGATCACTACATCCCTATCCCTAATGGAATTTAAAAATTATATTCTGTGTATTTATAACCATGTACATGATTGTTGTTACACTTAATCATACTCATGAATACAAATTTTTATACCGTCATGCGACAATCGGAATTAAAGTGGTCATTAAGGCAGTCTATTGTGTTTCTAATTATATATTTTTCAATTATATAGAATGTATACATCAAGAAGCTTGTGTGCTAGTTGTTTTATACTATTTAATTATATTAAAAAAAGAAATTATTTGTTTCAGATTAATGTTACTGTTGACTGTAAATACTTACTGTCTGGCATTTCATATGGATCTCTCACTACAGATGAGTTATTGAATGCACCCAGTGGCGGTTTAACTGAGCTACACTGTGAATGGCAAGGAAAAACTTTGTCAACCCCATTTTTAAGCTGTAAAGTTAATTTCGTAAGTTTCTCTATATTTGAATTTGTTATATTTTTAATGTAATCCCTTAATTCACGAAAAATAAAACATAACAATAACATTACACTGTAACAAATGGAAATTAATTTAAAAAATAATTATATTAATCCCTGACACAGCATGTAGGCCCATGTTATGGGTACCTACAAGACAAATGATAAAAGTATATTTTTTTGTAGACACATATATAATTTATATAGAAAACTAATACAAACAGTCATATACAAATTATTTGCGTTGTGCAAGGAATCCAATCCATGACCATCAGAAGTGAGGTTGTGTAATAAACCGTAATCTTGCTCTATGGACATAAATGTCCTGTAAGTCTAAATAGAATAAAATAGAATAGAAAATCATATATTCAAATAAACTTACATTGAAGCACTTTTGAATAGTCATTACATTTTTTTTTTAATCTACCGCTCGTTCGGAAAGCTGTCTCATCACAAGAAGGACGAGCAAGAAACTTGTTTGTTTGTTTGTAATTCTTTATTGTACAAAATATTAATAGATACATATGTCTTATAAAAATAAATAGATGGTACAATGGCGGACTTATCCCAAAAGAGGATTTCTTCCAGTCAACCTTTGAGTGACTGAAAGGAATTGTGGAGTGGTGGATATAAGTACAATAAGAAAATACGCGTCGAAAAGCAATATATATAAAAATATAGTACAAGAAATAATAGTGAATCTAATAATAATTTTAATAGAAGCATAAATAATAACAACAAAATATAAATACATAAATACACATAAACATATATACATATATACACATACATAACAAAAAAAAAAAAACAAGAGAAAATATTATAAATAATTGGAGTATTAAAAGAGCGCAGACTCGGAATGACCCCAGAGCTTGCAAAGGCGTCTTTTAAGAGTGCTAGTCGAAGGCGATAATTTAATCTCTGTAGGTAGTGTATTCCACAGTCGGACAGCTTGAACAGTAAAAGATTTAGTGTACCGGTGACTAGTATGAGAAGGAATTGTGAGTAGTAACTCTTGACAAGAGCGTATATGTTCACCGGTTCGGAACCGGAATCTCTCTTGCAGGTAAGAGGGCGAACAGGGGTTAAAAAGGACTTGCGTGTTGCTCTTTTAAATAATTTTATTATTACTTTACATTTTTAAGTTTAAGTGTGTGAATACAAACCACCAATTAGCACTAATTCAATTAAATACTCAAAAAGAAAAAATATTGAATACATAACCAACTGGTTAAACAATTAATAAGAGGAAATCAGTCATAGTGATTAGAGCAGACCAGTCCCTACAAGCAGCACCCGTTCACGAGTATGACGGATGAGCCAGCCATCACTGCGCTCGACCATATTTTAGGTAGCCCAATGACCCGGCCAATGAAATTTTACTATTGAATTGTAATCTTTATTAATATAATAATATGGTAAACATATGTATATCTAAATTTAGTCTTTCTCTACAGGAGCAAGAAGTAATAGTAGGACATTTAGCTAGTCCATGTAATGCTATATGGAAGTCTGTATGTTCATTGCACAATATAAATCAACTATTGGTTGATATGACAGCAGCTGGATATTCTTCAGTCAACTTAGAGACTGCTATTATACGGTAGGTAACACATTTGTACTGATACCAGGGAGCTGCCCCAGCTTCACAATTGTTAAAGTTAATTTACATAGAATCTTAATGAATTATACCTAAAGCTTCCTCAAATATTGAAATCAAATCAAAATGCATTTATTCATGTAGGACATTTAAGCTGCTTATGAACGTAAATTTTTTGTATTCATATTATTTTCCCTTCCATCCAGATCAGTATACAGATTCAATAAAGCAGAACTGGCAAATTTCCTTTTTTTAAAGGGTAAAACTACCGTTTAAAATGTACATTATATAGGTATGTCTAATATTAAGTGAAAAATCCCGTGCACGAACTACTTTTGCCATGCACGTTCATCATTCGAGTGATCGTTTATTATATAATTATAAGGCTTTGGTCAATAAATACTATTTAACAAGTTATAAGTAAACCGCATGAATATCCATTCGGTAATTATCGAGAACATACAGACCGACGCGGATAATAAACCCCCTTGTGCGCGGATAATAAACCTCATTTCACCTTTAACATTGCGAGTATTTCCTTAAATAGGTACTATAAAGGATGTTAATAACTTACTTCCAGAAACTACACTGTTGGGATGAAAAAGGCTAACAACAAAAAACGGTTAAGCGAGCTCCTCAACGAAACTGAGACATATGCTTATACGGCAGAATGCCCTACTGGTGGGTGCACTTGTGTGACTGAGGACACTACCAGTTTACGACAGTGTCTCTCCGCTATGAATGCTGAGGGATCCAGTAACGACTTCACATATAAATTGTGGGATATTTTACGAGGTAAGATGTTTTATAGGTTTCAACACCATATTTCTGGGGTCAGGGATAGTTAGTGTATAGTAGTTAATGTGGATTATTGTGGATTAATAACTCCATTACTAGTAATGTACCATGTCAGGTTGACCTCCCTGTAGTTCCTCCTGGAAACCATCGTGAAAAGTTCATTGTCAATTTACCAGAATGGGCTAACTGACCAGACCTCATGTTCGGGTTATCATACTCCACTGCCCCGCCAGCATAAACCGAGCGTGTTTTTTCTTATGATGCATAAGAAAAAACACTGTATTTCTAAACTTGCAAAAATATATACATGATTGATTATATATTTTATCATGTAATTAAGTACTTGTAGTAATTTAATGCAATTTTGTTATTTATGAACTCTTTTAATGTGGTGTCTTCTATATCTCTTACACTATAATAAAATTAAGGGACCGTTCAAATATTACGGTAAGCAGATTTATTATAATTATTTACCCCTATCCCCTTTGTCACCCCCTTCCCCCATGCTTATTGATTTTTTATTTGCTCTCCCTTTATTATTATTATTTATATTTCCAGATTGCGAGACTGCTGAAGAGCTAGTGACACTACTTATACAAGCTCTTAAATTCATTTCTTCTGGCAAAATCAGACCATTTGTAAGTATTTAAAAGATTTATGGAGAAGTAAAATGGTAAACAAACTGATGGTTCACCTTATTATAACAAATGGCATCATGTTATAATAATCACTGAGCTGTGTTGTCACGTGTGTCATTCCTAAGGCCAATTGCTGTCGATTGTTCCGATAGCTAAGAATATCTATGTATTAATGTCAGTTATGCATTAGATTGTGCGTGAATAATGATTATTATTATAAATTGTTTATTATATGTTGTTACCATTACACAGCCAAAACGGCTGAACAAATCTTAATAAAGTTTACGTGAAAATAGACGTATCATGAGAACAGAGGTAAGTTTATTTTCTTTCAAAAAGAGAAGACGTAGTTGCGCGTAACAACTTCTTAGTCATACTTTACAAGAGCGACTTTTTTATTTTTTATTGTCGGGCTGATCACATACCAAAACAGTTCAAATACTATTTTTTACCTACTTTTCTTACAGATTGATGCAAATAATAAAACCTACCTATCAAAATTGGTACTGAAATTATCTCGTGGACATTCCCAAACCGCTAAAGTATTGAAGAATCTTCGGTCAAGTTCACCCCAAGCATTGTCATTAGCAGCTCAGGTTGGAACTGAGAAAACTATGTGGGAATACACTAGAGTTATGTCCCTTCTAGAACATTCCTTTTATATTGCTGGTATTTGGACTACTGAAGTGAGGTATCAAATAAACTTTACACTGTTTAAAATTTGCTAATTATTTGACTCTTCGGTGGTCTAGTGGTTTAACATACTGTCTTACTTCCTATGGTCGTGGGTTCGATTCCTCGCACGGTACAAATATTTGTACTTATGAGTAGGATTGTTTGTACTAGTTTGGGTGATTTCTATGTATAATACGTATTTATTAACAAAAAAATATCTATGTGTTTATATCAGTTGTCTGATTCCATAACACAACAACAAGCTCTGCTTAGCTTGGAATTATATTGCAAACCCCTCAATAAACAACTTGCTATTCTATCTACACAAAAAAAATACAAATAGGTATAAGCAAATAAATATTGCAACTAGACGATGATAATGCCGCTGTCTGTTTATTGGCCATAAAAACAGTGATAAGCAACAGATAGAAGACAACGCGAAATACCATTTTATATTCACGATGAAACTATTAACTTTATGGTACCTACAATGTATACTTTCTGCATATCTTTCCAGATCCCACGAGTCTATAGAACAGATAAACCAAACAATTCAAGACATGACAATGGGCGGGGATTTCACACTTAATCCATTCGATAATATATCATCAGCTGAACACTCGATTAGACTCGATTGTGAATCATTTTACGTTGACGATAATAATGATCTCACTGTTGATGATTTCGCATCATTGAAGAAACACGGCCTTGTTGCTGAAAAGAAAGATGTGAATGAGGTACATACATACTAAAATCCTTTGTTTTGTACATTTTACAAGAAAAGATAAGGGTGGTTATATAATGAGTCTATGCAGTGAATGAGACGCCAATACAAGCCTGCTCCCGCTCGCACCTAACGCTCGCGTTCCGCCAGCAACGACACCGTCCTCGCAGGCGAAGATGACGACCTCAACCACATACCACGCATCCGACTGTCCGAGCGATCCATACCGGCGCCCCTGTTTGCCCCTTCAATCGATCTTCCGTCCGATTAAAAGTGGTATCGATATTAAGACGGCCTGCCCAAAGACTAAAGTTGTATCTGACAGGCAGGAGTTGGCCTTCGTCGCTCCATGAGTCCTTCCGCGGGTTTGTAGTTTGTAGTGGAGGGGGGGGGGGGGGGGGCGTCGCGGAACACTGACCCGACCTATCGTCCGGTGAAGCTGTAAAGGCTTGCCGTAACCAACAGTATTAGATTAGTCAGAAAAAAAATGTGCGAACAGTTTGCATGCGGCTGTAGAAGGTCGTGCGATGCTACAGTTCCATATTCTTTACTATATATATGTTGGAAATGTACAGTATTTGTGTTATTCTCATGTGCTATATTATTGTAAAGTTTTATTAAAATCCAATCAGTAGATTTTGCGTGAAAGACAAACATCTAGCCATCCATCTATTGCTCCATACTTACAAACTTTCGCGTTTATAATATTAGTAATATTTGCATTTACATTGCAGGTACCTCTAATAGCTGATGAGATCGACATAAGCCCGTGGAAACATCTATTGATGAAATTCGCCCAAGTTCATGTCTGTTTGGAGCACCTATATCGCGCTGAAACTTGTTTGAGAGCAGATTTTGGTGAGTTCGTTTGATAATTATAATAATAAACAATTTACACAGCACCATATATAGTGTAAAACTGCGCATAGTTAAAACTATTAATACTTAAAAACTGATAAAAATACGTTTGTATTTAAAACATAGTGTATATTGAAATCAATAAATTTTACATATTAGATTAATTTCTCTTGAGGGTATAAAAGGGAAGTCTTCGAACTTTCAGTTCAAATATCTACCAGATCAAAAAGATCAAAAATAAAAATATAAAGCAAATGCATTACAATTTCCAGAAACTCTGCCATACATAACCACATTGTATAATCTCACCTCCTAGCTATTACGATAATCCTATACGATATAGGGTAAAAAGTATACCTAAATAATTTACTATTATGTTTTTAATTGTTTTAATTTGTGAATTTACTCCATTTACACTATATAATATGTTTCAGCAAACCTTAAACCGATAGCTAGTCGTCTGTTAGAACACTATGTTTCTGAACGGTCACCCATCAAAACAGTCGGTCAATTATTAAGTGATCCAGTTCAGAAGATAACTATGCCAATAGCAAACAATATAGTGCAGGACCATTTGAAGTGAGTATGAGTATAATAATTATCTCAGGATAATTCACACAGTGCCATCTAGTCCTAAGCTAAGCAGAGCTTGAGTTATACGTAGTAGCTGATATAACATAGATTTTTTTGTAAATACATACATAATATACATAGTAAATACCAGACCGATACAGACAATCATACTTATGAATACAAATGTTTGTACCGTGCGAGGAATCGAATCGAACATCAGAGGTAAACTCTCTGCTATACCGCTAGACCACCGAAGTCATTATATAGATATATAACCTATATATACTTAATCATAAATCGACAGATATTATAAAAAATTGTAATAATTCGGATCCATAAACAATAGAAAAACTACTCAATTAAATAATAAATGTAAAGGTCGATACCAATGTATACAACATTCTTAAACTTATCATAATAACTTAAATTACTTTTAATGAATAATAAAATATTCCTATAATTTACAAAACAAACTGCTGACGTAAAATCTGTCTATGATAAACTAAACATAATATATGAGAAGACAAATCCATCTATATTTTTTCTACAACTATATGTGTAATGTGAACATTTCAAATCACACACCAATTCTTACTTATAGGAAACCAGCATATTGGTATCGTGCTGTGATAGATCGAAAGGAAAATTCAGAGGAAAGATTAAGCCGCGAGTGTAAACACACCTATTTATTCACCCAACAACCAGTCTTTCCTCCTTCAGTTTGGCAGAATTTGGGTAAATATATCTATTTTTTGTATATACATTGCAACTTATTGTAAAAACAGGTGGCATTGGCATGCTGTAGAATATTAGCAATCTCTGGAGTTATATGTTTTCGCTCAGCGGTCTTTCTGACTTTCTTTATACCTATACCAGGTATAAAGAAAGTGCTACTAGCGACGTACACAAATTCTCGGAATGGTGAGGTCGCTTTGTATACCCTTTGAAAATAGTATCTATATTACATTACATTACAATGGCTCTAGTAATCACGCTAATAGATTATATATATTTATTATATCAATAATATAGCTTATCCTCAATAATTAATCTATCAAATGAACTTTTAAACGAACATCAGATGTATTTTTTTTTGTGTATGATAATGGAATGGTGCACCCGCCTGCGTTAATGGTTTACGCTGGCAGGGCACCAGTGGAGTATGATAGGATGAGCATGAGGTCAGGTCAGTTAGCCCATCGTGACAAATTCACCAAGAACTTATCACGTTATATTATATTTTTTTTGTATAGCAATGTAAATTTAATTTCTTAAGGGAGCACGTAGACCTGGTGGTTTCTCTCCTAATTTCATGTGTATATAAATAATAATTTTTGTTTCAGAACCACCTACAGATGAGGTTACTGAAATAACAACAATTGGAGAAGAATTGAAATATCATACCACTAAATTCACATTCTTAAGCAATAGAGTAATTAGTAAATTGACTCTTTAGAATTGTACCTCGCGTCTTGACTCCTGAAAATCAGTGCCTTATTTTTTATTATAATATTTATACACTTATATTATATTATACTTTGTACACTTATATATATATTATAAACTAGCTGTTACCCGCGACTTAGTCCGCGTGGAAATTGCTTTTTTAAATTAAAATAAACAATTTTTCTTAAATAAATGTAACCCTAATTTACTCCTTATAGCTATCTGCGAGTGAAACCCGTCAAAATCGGTGCAGCCTAATTAGAAATTAGCAAGAACATTCAGAAAAAGATAAACTTTTTAAATTAAATCTTTGATTAACTATACCATCATATACTTCTAAAGATAAGCTATTAATTTGAAAGTACAAACAAACTTCAATTTTATTTACTTGTACAGGTATATAAAATTGAAATTTATGAATAAATGAAACAGCATCGACATTATGAGCACTTTCTTTCCTTTAGGTGAAAAATCAGCCTGTTTACTAGTCTATGTACACTATGACATGCCTTCATACGCTGTAATATCACTACAGTTTAATAATAATAATATCTAATTATTATTATTAATAATTCACACAGTCCCATCTGGTCCCAAACTATATGATGTATGATGTATGACTATACTATAGTCATAAAATACTACTACGATACTAATACGAAACGTAAATATAATATTTATAAAACCAACTATGTTGAATATAAATATGTATGGAATAATTGGATTAAAAATTGCATTTTTTAGCCCAATATTTGACAACAGTTGTAATTATGGTACGATCTGTAGTAGCTGAGCAAAAACAGATTGAACTCTATGTAAGTATGAAGGAAGTAATAGATGCAATACAATGCACCAGGGCAGCCGTCATTTCTTTTAACTTAAACAGGTAGTGAAACCGCAAGTTATCACTAGTATGTATATAAAAAATGAGTAAGATTTTTTTGTAGCTAAATGATTAAGTATGTATAATGTATGTATAGTGCTTGCAAACTAAAACGTTTTTTTTCTTTTATTTTCACTATTTCGTTAAGTTTTTTTTCACCGTTCATCGAACTCTTCAATGAATTTTCTCAACAGCTGGTTGAAATAGGAATAAAGTTTTTTATGGGTCTTAAATTAGTTTTATTACTCTCCACGAAGAAAACTCTTTGGATTAAAAAACGAATTACGTTGAATTAAGTTTAACGTACCGTCACGTAGCGTGCTCAATAATTGTAAAGCGTAGTGTACACAAGTAGAGTCTAAGCACACTAGTAGTACCTATAACATTCTAGCTCTGCTTATCGTGGGACTGGATGGCGGTGTGTTAATAAATCCAGGGATAACCCTGAACAATTAACACACCTGTGTCTGTAATTAAATAATTATTTCATTACAGGCACATGAGGTAAAAAAAGTTCATGAACAAATCAAAGAAATGACTATATTTACCTCAAAAAGGTGAATAAAGAACCAACTCAGCATAAAACTACAGATAAATCTGCAGCTCTGATATTTGTTGGCTCCTGTCATTATAGTAGTATAACTTGAAATGTTACAGTGAAAATGGTCGTGGTAAATTCCTACTGAATTCGCTGGGCTAACTGCACTGACCTCATACTCGTCCTATCATCCTCCATTGGTGCCTCGCTAACGTATATCGTTAGCGCAAGCGAGTGTACTTCATTGTAACTCATTAAAAAAGCCGTCGGCTTGTTAACTATATTAATTATTAAAAAAAGGTATTTAAGGAAGGTAACAGTGTAAACTATGCTTTACGTTTGAGCTCAGTTTCTACGTGACTGTACGTAACAGACATTTCAAAGCAGTGTCATACAAAGAAAGTAACATTTTATTATTGAATATCGTATTAAAGAGATCACTAAAATAATAATGGTAATAATAACCCTGGACAATTCACGCAACGTCTTCTAGTCCTAAATTACGCTTGTGTTGTAGGTTGTATGCTCCTTTGGAAAGTATACATTATCCTGAGAAGGTAAAAACCATCCCAAGAATAATCTTCAATTGTTGTCCCTCACAGGAAAAATAATTCAACTAATTAGAATAATCATATTTTTAAATTAAAGTGTTTGAATAAAATTATACGTATAAAAAACTAGCAACAAATAGAGGCGCGTAAATTTTTAAATTTAAAAACCCAGGATGCTTCAAGACTATTTAGGATATCCCAGAACAATCCAAGAACTAGGACATGTCCCCGGAATACAGGACGGTTGATAACTCTACTCGTTACTAACAAAGAAATGAAATTGAGGAGAGGGGCCCCAATTTCAGGGAAGTAAATCAGGGCATTTTTTTGGAAAGCAGAGCTTGTGTTATGGTTACTAGACAACTGATATAATTACATAGTTATTTTTTAAATACATACAGAATATATATATAGACCGATACTAACAATCATAATCTTGAATACAAATGTTAACTTGCTAAGAAACGTACACGCGACCATCGGTAGTAAGGCGGTGTGATAAGCCGCTACACAAGGGCCTACGCATTGTCAAATGTCGATAATTTTTGCTTGCGATTGAGCGATATTCCAAACTTTTATTAAGTCATAATTAGTTATTCCTGTGTTGGTATATTTATAAACTCGTGTACCGTAACGTCAAACAAAAGTTGATAAATAATGAACGTCTGGCTCATAAAATTAATTTGATATTTACGTGTAACATCCTCTGACCTGATAATCCAATTTTACAGTTATGATGAATGGATCGATCATTGAGTTGAAGATTTACGTTCTTTTCGCAATGTACACTCCTACTAAGATATTCATATACAGGGAACTTTAAAGTACAGTTGAGGAAATTTGTTAGAACTTAAAAGATGATAATTGAATGGTATACCCGCCTGCGCTAAAGGTATACGCTGCCGGGGTACCCGTGGAGGGTATAAGAATGAGTATGAGTCAGATAAATCAGCCCATCGTGGCGAATTCATCAGAATTCACTGATGAACCGCGTGGAGGACTACCTGAACCTATTTTACCCAACGCGTCCCGTTGTTCAATTAGCTGATTAACCATTTTTGTTCATGAAGCGAACGGAATTAAAAACACTAAATGTTATGAGCAGCGTAGTATAATTGGTAAGCAGCACATTGAATTCAATTATTTTGTTTCAGAGAATAACTTGCTCAAATATGCAACATAATTTCTAAATACTTTTCTATATATTTCTTTTTTATATTCTATACAGATATAGGTAACTAGGTGATTTTAGGACCTACAATGTATGAAAACTGTTTTTATTATTTAATGTACAAAGATGACACGTGTACGTTTTATTATCTATAGTAAGTATATGTGATTATATAAATCCCACAACAAATTAACGTTCGTCGTTGTATTCCTACTAACAAGTCCTATTGGTAGCAGCTATTTATTAAGCAAACATTATTTTCATTTTATACAACTTATAAATACAACAGAAATAGATATTGTTTTTTATCATGCTAGTTAAACAGCTCTGTATAGGGTTTTGTATGGAGCTTTTTTTCTTTTGTGCCCATCGCTTTTAATTTATTAGGTACTTTACACGCTTATTCCACATTTTGGTAATGAAAAGGAGTGTATACAAGGTATAAATATATAGTGTAACATATAATTCTATCACTATACAAAGAGGATTGGTATAATGCTTCGTACATATATACGTAAATGGAAATCTCACTGAATTTTTGGCAGTTGATGGAGTAAATGAATAGAGAGATAATGAGATCAGCTCTAATATTTCCTTGATTGGCGACTTTAAACTGCCGAGCAGAATCTGTAGAAGATTATTAATCGATTATATTAATTAATAATCAAATCACTCCACAGTGGCAAAATCACCAGCAATTTACCATAACCGTTCCTGCAAAATCAAACTGCCGTGGTACACTAAATTAAGACAATTTCTCCCCATTACAATTTTTTCAGCGATAATCAACTATTACAATATATCCTCAGCGCTGAATTCAAGAAGCTCGACGTCAAACATGGAACTATCACTACACAAAGAGAATGAACTTTGTAATTGTATAGAGACAATACATACTATAGATGATAATTAGACTGACAAATTGTATATAAAAATATTGATTTTATATACTAAATAAGAATAGGAAAATGTATGGAATGAATGTGTAAGGTGAGGTGGCACAGTTTAGACATGGCAGTGCTTAGTAGACAATAGATATTGAGCTGGTCTTACTAGATATAATTAATTGCAAGTAGGTATTATAACTGTGTCCCATAGTATTTATCTCTGACAAAAACCTATTCAAAACAAATAAATAAATAAATGACTAATAATCTTCATTAATCTCAGTTGAGTGTACTCATGTCTATTACAAAACTGAGATGGGTCGTACTTACACGCAAAGTAACGCTGTTTACTTCATAGGCCACGTGTGTTAATTAGTTGCTTATTACTCAATCATATTATGGGTTAGTCGTGGCTTGTTTACCTGTTCCAGACGATACTGGGTCATCGGATATCTTTAGGTCGATGCTATCAATATTAGTAAATTGACTGGTTAAAATCATTTGGTGTAACTTATGAATGAGATTTTAATGAGTTAACTGAATAAATATTTGATTAAACATAAACTATATGATAGCAACTATTTTGTTTTTCATTCAAAATACCGTTAACAAATTCCACTTTTATACCATATTTTAGTGCAGATCCATTCGCAAGAGTAATCGCATTTCTATGACTTGCGTTTCGTATGCCACTTACTGTTGACTTTTTATATTGATAAATTGAGTTTAGTGAATTCACTCACATTGATAAATTAGGTAATATATGAATAAAAACCTTCATTGAGATCATAATGGCCCAGTTGCTGTAACCCCTTTTTTATACTACGATGGTGGCAAGCATATTTTTTTTCAGACTACTCTAATGCTGTTGGCAGCAGCTGGCCTTTACAGCTTTACCTGACGATAGGGGACAAGTGCAGATCGCACTCCAAACTCGCGGAACTTAGAACAACATTTATTCCAAGAAACAAGAAATACACGCAAATTTCTATCAAATGTGACTATTCAGAAGTGCTTATATTAAGTTAGTTTGAATA